TATTAGAAATAATGACCCTGGCATTACCAGTGTTCTATAATTCATCCATGGTTGACTATGTTTTGTAGCCAGCAGTCATATTGAACAATAAACCATTATAGGTTGTCTTCTGCCATCTTAGTAAACCTTTGCCTACAGATGCCAGTAACATTGCTTTCCATTGCTTAAAAGAGGATCCTGAGCTCCATTAAGAAGGGTGTTTGGGGTCAAGGTGTCCTGGCCCTGGGGCTGGGATTTCCCAGTCTTGCCTGCAAAGAGGGGGTCTCCCCAGGAAGTTCCTGCCTGGGCTGATGCTACCTCTTCCCCCACCATTTCTCCCAACAGATGGCTGCTCCTGTCCCATGGGCCTGCTGTGCTGTGCTTGCTGCTGCTGCTGCTGTTGTCTACACCCAGAGACACAGTCCACAGGGTGAGTGCTTGGGGGGAGCTGCCTAGTGATCCCTTTCCAGAATTGTGCATGAATTCTCAATGGCATAGCTACAAACTGACACTATCCAAGAGTCACACTGGCACTCAATGGCATTGTCACAATAGGTACTCCCAGGGACATGTCATGTGACATTGATATGCAGGGTGACCTACTGATGTCTCATAGGAACAGCCCTCTGCAGTCACACCAGGGTGGTATATGCCAATCATGTCTAACTTGAAATGATCTGTCCTTCCCATTAGGGATGGTATAGAGTACAGACAGGTGGGATAGGAGGTTGGAGTGTATCTAGGGGCAGGACCCATGTACAGTATTTGTTCAAAAGGGTGATCTTCAGCATGTCTGTGGGGATGCAATTGCGGATACTTGTAGGAGACAATGGGCAAGACTTTGGTCACTTTCTATCCTCAGCCTTATCCTAAGAGGAAAATTGGTTCAGTTAATGGGACAGGCATGGAGGTAGGTGAGAGAGGGCTGGTGTACTAAGGATGGAGCCCAGTCAGCTGCAATGGCTAGAAGGGGGAGGGACTATTCAGGGGATGGGCTATTGGCAGCCTTCCCTCCCTTCTCCAGCCTGTTTGTCCAGTGAGGGCTGAGAGCTTCCCATAGCCTACCCATGACCATCAGCCTCTCCACTGCATTTGAGGCAGCTTCTCAAAGGCTACATCATACAAGTTCTGAACTTGGAACTTGCCTTGAATGAGGCTCCCTAAGCTCCCCCATTTGTTGGGTCCTGTCCCCTTTAACATGTCCACCTTGGCTGGAGTGGTAGAAGCAGGAAGGGTGGGGGACATTTCCAGGACCTAGGTGTGGAGCAAATCCTGATGGCTGACTTCTGCCACCCTCAAGGCATGGGTTTAGGAGGGCACTGGGTTGAGACTTCTGTGGCCCTTTCCTTATGAGATCACTGATGTCCAGAGAGACCCTGGCTGGCCCCAGGACTGCTGATTGGACCTACCCAGGGTCTGCCTGTAGTATCTACCATTGTGTGCAAAGGTCTCTACCTGTGTATAAAGATAGTGCTGCATATGGCCAAGGCCCTGACATAAGGCCACATCTGTAAGTGTGTGAAACTGGTTTCTTTTGTAGGGAAAACATGTCCCTGTTTGAGGGGGTTTTTCCATGTGGCTGTATCCTTGTAGGCTGTGATTTGAGTATGATATTGTCTGGTTGGTTGGTTGTGCCCTTTTAGGGGCTGTGTCTTTATGTTCGATATTGTACCCCAGTACCCCATGTATGATAGGTATCTCCTTTTCTCTTTGTGTGTTTGTGTCCCTGTCGAACCGTCTGCCCATGTGTGATACCATGTCCTCCCCATGTATAACTGTGCCTTTGGGTGGAGGTGGCTTTCTTGTGCATGCCTGTGATCTTATATCAGGTATTACCATCCCTGAAGAGGGAGAATGTATCTGTATGACTGTAGATGGATGACTGTCCTATGTTTGCTTCTTCTTTATGGACGACTGTCCTCATCCTGTGTGTGTGATCATGTGAAGTTGCTTAGGACGCCCAGGGGGAATGTTTCCGGCATGTGGTCCCCATGTGAGCCTGTGTGCACAGGTGTGAGGGAGCTGTC